CCACTATGACTGTACCAATATTCAAAAAAAAAAAAAAACTTAGCTTAATGAAAGCAATTTAAGTAGGGACTGGGAGAGCAGAGAATAATAATAATAATAGCAGATGAGTGTTTAAAAAGGCAGAATCGAATTAAATAGATGTCAACTTTTGAATGGAATAAGGCGGGGGAAAAAATAAATCATCTCCCTAGCAGGGAATCGAACCCTGGGCTGCTGTGTGAAAGACAGCGATGTTAGCCACTACACCACTAGGGAAAGGTTGATAGCGAAGCCAGGAGGCATAGTTCTATAAAAACCTAAAAAGGTCGATGGAGCGCTTCAGCGCTTATTAGACGCGTTCCAATCAGCGGCAACTTTCTAAGTACATTTTATTATTGATTCCCCCTACAGGATACAGTTCAACTGGCCACTTGTAGTCTCCTGTAGAGCTGTGGTCGAGCGTCCAATCATCACCCTGATAGCCTAACGAAAATATAAAGAAACCGGTGTTTCATGGCACAGACTACAGAAACGGAAGTACTGTTTGAAACTACAGTTTGTGCTTGTATATACATACATGTGGTGTACAACCCACCACTTCGCTCCGTCAAAAACGAATGATAGGGAGGACATTCGAATGGCCCAGAGAGTTCAAAAAAGCTAAATAGGGTTCATTCAAACTTTCGGCCGGAAAAATCTTATCTAATATGGCTGGGCGGTACATCTTTTGTTCATATATTTATTTCCTATTGTGGTTTTCGTCCATTCAAGCTCCCAACCATGACAGTGGGCCAAAGTTGAATTAAGCTTAAAAATTGTTCCCATCTAATCTAATTTCTGATCTCATTTTCAATTCTACACTTCTTAAGATAAAGAGAGATGGTGTGAGCGTATTGATGTTGAGAGGGAGTGTGTTTCAGACGGTGTGGGGATCATCAGACTCCCAGTTTGAGCTTTGACGGAGCTTAATGAATATCCGAACCCTGTTTAGTTGCCCGTAGAGCCATGCGGGGCGAGTGGTACCTTCACGGGCACATGTGGAAAACAAGTCCTTGCACACAATAGAAATATAAATGGAAATATCAACACCAGAGATCAAATAACCTTAATGGCTACCAAAGCTTTTTTTTCTCCACACCTCCATGCTACTCCTTTATTTCTAGACCTTGGGAAGACCATGGATAATAATGCTATTGTGATCTTTGACTCCTTGTTTATGTCTTCTCTACCTTTACTGCTTGCAAACCACCTGCATAACCAGTCGCACATCACCTTATTCTTTGCAGAAAAAGAGCACTGCACATTACATTTAATAAATAATACATCAATTGAATGCAAGAGAGAAGACCAGCCGGGGTACTGAAAACAACCGAAAACAAAAATATGGAAGGATTCGGTTCAGCAGTCAATCTCTATCATCAGTATGGTTTTCATAAAACCCTGTATAAGGGAATGTATAGCTCGTCAATCCTCTACCAGAATCGAGCGACTACCTAGCAATCAAGGCCATTTTCTTTTCTAACTGACTGCAGATCTCGTCTGCGCCAGGCAGCAATACATAGCAAGAATAAGGCCACCTGGTTGTTCTGCAGAAAATGCGTGTCCAATCAGCCGTATAGATTTGGCATTCGCGCCTGAACCTACACTCTTGTGCTGTGAAACATATGAAGTTTGGAGCGCAGGATTGCATCACGTCAAAGGGTAGATTGGGAGGCGGATACGATCTATCTGCACCCATTGTCAGAGGGGCGAGCATCAGTACTCCGCACAGTAGAAGAGAGAGCTTCATTTTTGTTTTGCTTTGCAAGAAACAGATTTGTCTTCCATCTACATCTTTCAGATCGATGCCGAGCAGGAGCAAGTATATTAATAATTTCCCATTCTTAGGAAGGAAAGCTTGATCAGAAGTTCCCATCGCCGCGTCAACCCTGGATGCTGCCATTGTCATCCATGGCTAGCTCCTGTCTTTCAGACCTGTTCATTTAAAATAGTTTTCACAGAGTTCTTCGGCTCTGACACGCATTCAGACTGTGGTCAAGGAATGGAGGATGCTTGGGCCTGAATCCCTGGGTATTACCTGCTCCACTGTATCCATTGGTCATTGGTGTGCAGCTTTTGTTCGCAAGAAAATCTTTGATAATGCGGGGTGGGAGTGGAGTCGATATAGTATTGGTAGTTCATGGCCATCTTCGGCCTTTTTGTTCGTGAAGCAGGAACAAATCCCGGAATGCAATTTAACATGAGCTAGCACAAAGTGTGGGGATTTGTGGTGGGTCTGTTGGATGCTGTCAAATCCTACTGTGTGTTTTACTACTGCACCTTAGTTTCGGACAACATCCGTCTCTATTGGAAATAGGAGGAAACTTTCACAAAAATAAGGCGTCAGTGAGGGGAATGGAAGAAGTTTACCCTCTCGAGTACGAGGTCTCAGAAGCTTTCCTGGCTTTCTATGATAGTAGCCATGAATCTACTGCTCCATTGCTCATTATTTTATCTATTCTACTAGTACATGTATGTATGTACAGTACATATAAAACACGATGTACTCTGCTAGCTTTCTATATAGGTTCCAGCCAATTATCAAAATACCTTGATGTTTGGTGACAGATTTGGTGGCCTATGGTTGCCGGCTGACAAAAAACCTTTGCAAAGTGACGGCTTATAGCCCATCCACATTATGTTCCGATTTGTTTTCTTGTTTAGACTGCCAATGCTTATTCTGCACATGGTTCTTACAGTTTGAGTCTAGGGAAATGGAAATGAATCAATCGTACAATGCTTTAGCATTTGTTCTAAATTATTGTTGGCTATCTAAACAGAAAGATAAATAGAAACTGTTGGATACACTTTCGGATAACAGGTGACATAAAGTTAATAATAAG